CAAGTGGCAAGCTCTTTACCACTAAGCCACCACGGAAGTCCTGATCATCTACTAGCATACTATAAAATTGTTTCCACAATAAATTCTTCCCATATGAATGCTTATCTATAACCCTATAGATAACCCTAACCCTATAGATTAGACAGAATGTTTACCTATAGATTGGACAGATAATCGAGATTGATGAGCTGTATGTGAGCAGACAAGCAGCTATCTCTGCAAATATTTTGTCCCTGTGTGTACTAGTTTTTAGTAAGGGTGTGTAAGTGTGCATTATATTGCAGTGACACTCAAAAACTCCCATTTCTGAGACTTCCAAATTGTCTTTGTAACTTTAGATAAGGGAAAGGATGGAAAGTCATTAGGGTTTAAGAGAAATTAAAAACTTATTATCTTCCACACTGTTCTTAGTGTTTTTTATGTATTTAATCATCAAAACAACCCAAGGGCATAGGTGTTATTATCCTGTTTATAGATAATGGAAAAAGCCCAAAGAAAGTATACTAACTGACCCAGTTCCAAGATGGGAAAACCACAGAAACAGAATTCAAACCATGCTATGTGGCTCTGAGGTCCACTTTCTTAAGCACTGTTGTGTGTGTGTGTGTGTGTGTGTGTGTGCGTGCATGCGCTAGGTCACTTCAGTCGTGTCCAACTCTTTGCGACCCTAGGGACTGTAGCCCACCAAGTTTCAATGTCCATGAAATTTTCCAGGCAAGAAAACTACACTGTTGAGCCTCCCATAAAACATACAAGGAGCTCTGAATCTACCCTCTCAATAAACAAAGCCCAGGCTTGGCGCTGACGCATTCTTTCAGCTTAGAGGAGATAGACAGGGAAAGGGCAAGGAAGAGGTCATAGAGTCAAAATTGCCTCTTTCCCTATAATTCTGTTTCTAGTAAATGAAATACTGTGATAAATCTTTCCTTTATTTCCCCATCTGACAGCATATGCCTTTAGTAGTGCCTTTGTCAGGGAAACAGCCTGCTGAGTCATCCCTACCAGATTCTGCTTCGTGAGGTTGGGAACAAGTCTCTCATCTGACTACAAACCAGGTTCACAGCTGCTTATCTTAGGAAACTTGACAAGGTCACAGCTTGAAATGCTATGGCTGTAGTATAATTAGAGATTAAGTGACAATTTATTCAATTTAATAATTCAAGAATAGTTTGCCTTGTCTGTTATAAATAACAGGCTATCATTATCATGTATTATTTTAAAAACAAGCCTAATTAACTACATTTCTTTATTTTTTAGTGCCTTATACTTGTGGATAAAGATAATGGAAAGGCATACATATAAATATAGACAAGATGTCAAAAATATTCTTGAGAATAGCCTTGCTTTACATCTATAGACTATGTATCAGAAAGAATTATATAACCCCATTTCTGAAGACAGATACCTTTATACCTGAGAGTGTGCTCCAATCTCTAAAGCCTCTATTTCTAAAATCTATTTTTGCATGGAAGAATACATAAAAGAAAGTTTAAGAACACTTCTTCCAAAAGACTTGTTACTAACCTAACAGTTTTATTATTACCCTGCCTTTCTTTTTCAGTGCCTTTGTCCTGAGACAAATAATTTAACAATCAAGCTTATGCTCACGATACCACAGTGAAATAATCAATCTTCTCCCTTAACTAATTTTAAATTGGTAATCTAACTTGCATTTCAGCTAGACAGATCCTTTTCTTTATTCATAGATTAGAAAGGTAGACAGACACAGTTGATAAAAATGATCCAGGAGGCTGAAAGCCACCATATATAAATATAGAAAGATAAATAGATATAGATGACAATGCCACATAACTTGTTTGAATATATGTAATATATAGACTAATACAGATATCTATATTGACATTATATATATATATATATATAAAACATCAAGTAAGTTATGTGCCGATATTACAAATCAAATCCTTCACTTCCCCTCCTCAAGTAATTTGATTCTGAAATATCTTACTTGTAATTTTTTTGATATTTCATTTTGTTTTCTCTCCTTTGTTCTTTTAGTTTATCAATAGGACAAGCAAGTTTTACAAACCATTTAGTGTATAACTGGAAGGATGTGATGAAGGGGAAGAAATAGGAAACATCACCTGATCCCTTGAGGAGTTTACAATCTGATTAAGAAAATAACATTTAAACATAGTACGTGATTAGAGAACAGGATGAGACAGCTCCCCAAAACCACTCATATAAGCCCCTAACCAATGGAGGGGAATGTGTAGGGGAGATAGGTGAGGCCAATACAAATTTACTCAGGGATATGTTAGTAGCACAAAGAAATAATGAATGTACAAATAGATTAGTAAGGACTGACAAGATGTTGTCGTACATACAGTGGCTCTCACAGGTAACAAAATGTAATGGAGACCCTGATACTCAGAAGGCTATGCAGACATCTGAAATTTTATCTTCAGGCCTTTATATCTACTGCTTTAACAGTAAATGCACTTTAACAATAAATGTGTGTAAACTTATATATTACCAGACATTGTGTTTTCCAAAAACTGGAAGCAATCAAATGTAAATAAAGGTTCAATTTTGTAAGCTAAACAAAACTATATCTCTCAACATAACTTGGTTCTGGTCTGGAAGCTTTACATCTTGAAGTGAAAAAGCTCAAAGAAATCTGATAGTATAGACATAAATAAAATGTGTTTCATGTACTCGAGATGAAATTAACACACCTCGTTTACCAATACAAAATAGTAATCTGTACATTGTCTAAAAACACATCACTATACATAAATATTGCATATTTATATTATCAAAAAAGTAGAGAGACATAATACTAGGACTATTTATATGGGCATTATTTTTACCAAACAAAAACCAAACAAATGTAGGCATATATTATTACATTTTATAAATATTATTTTAAAAGAATTTGTAAAAGAAAAAGTGTTTCAGACATTCTATTTTTGCCTTTAAATATCCTATGAAAAGTGTTATACATAATTTTCATTCAATATTTATTCATGCATTTTAGAAATTATGGCTGTCTTTCGAAAGTGCACAAGATGCAACAACGGTAAAATTTCCATGATGGGGTAGTTGGCATGGTTTTTAAAGGGACAGAAATAGAAAAACTGTATTTATAAAATAATGAGTAGTTGTTATTTACTCCAAGTAAAAGCCTTGGAGTCAGACAGGGATTCACAATCTAACTTTTCCATTTACAAGCTGTATGACCATGAGGGAGTCATCATTACTCTTTCTGGGCCTCAGTTCTCTCATTTTAAATTATGGCTATAAAAATAGAACCTACCTCACAAAGTTACTGTGAGACCAAATGCACATAAAACATTTGAAGTGTTTAGCACAGCCCTCCAGTGCATGACACAAAACACTCTCAGTAAATGATAGCTGTTATAAGAATTACTTTTACAGTTGAAATATATCTGTATTTATCTACATATATGTGTGTATACATATATATGTATGTGTGTGTGTATATATATATATGTACACTTTCCAAAATGTTCAGCCTATTTTGTTCTACCACAACAGGAAAAAGTATGCCATGAAATCTTGTTGCATAATATCCATTTTTATGAGGTGGAATAAGAAAAAAAAAGCATTATGGCATTATGGTAGGTTAAGTTAAAGGAATTTGCAATCAGTTATTCTCTAGTGATGTCAGTTCTAACTATGAAGTTGTCAGCACTCTTTTCATTGTCAGGTCTCTCCCTATCTACCATCCTCACCCACATCCTGATATAGCATTAAACATGGAGAGGAATATGGGGGAGGAGTGGGCACTGTGACTTTCCAGTTGTGACCACTCCAAGTTGTAGTGGTGGGAAAGATCCACGGTCTATAGTTAATTCACTTCCCTTCCCCAAATGCACCCACTGAGCAAACACGGCTTCAGATAAGATTGGGGTGCGTGCAGAGTTGGTTTCGGCCACCAGCCACGTGTATCTCTGCGTAATTGAGCATGCCTGGACATATTGCTAAACCCATGCTCTGAATTCCTGCTCTCCACCATGGTGGATCCCCCATCCTGAAGCTTCACTCTCGACCACAAGACCCTAACCCCCGCCCCCCAGGCGGGAAGTGGAGCCTGGGGGATTACATTTGGAATGCACCCCTGAAAGATGCTGGTGCCAGAGCTCAGGGAACTCAATTTGAGAACCGTGGCGGTGGGGTGGGGGTGGGGAATCGGTTGAACATTTTTAACAGATTTCAGTAGAGTGGTCAAACAAGAGGGGCCACAGACAGCCCTGATGTGGAGGGTCCTTTGCCTCTGCCAAAGACCACCATCCCTGGTCCAGTTCACTAACTGCAGCAAAGACGTTCCACAAATCGCACCAACTGCACATTTGTTTCTTCGACAGACAACTTTCAGCTTTCCTTCTAGCCTCATACTTGACTGTACTTCAGCTTTCAGAACTATTTCAGTAAGGATTTTATGAAGGTTAGTTGGTTGTTACCGTCCTGAGGGTCGTGAAACTCCCCAAGTAGGCGATCCGGGGCTTGGGCAGGCGTATTAAATGTGTCCGCTCAGAGACCGCTAGAGAATCGCAGAGCACTGGTCCTGGGTGAGTCTTCCTCGGCGGCTCCATCCACCCCTCCCTCCTGCCCCCTTCCGACCCCTCCCAGCCGGGCGCGTGATACCCAGCCCCCCACTCCCGCCCCTCCCGCCGCCTCCGCCCCCTCGCGCTCGCCCCCCGCGTAGTCCTCGTCCCACGTCGACTTCGCTCCCGCAGCCCTCGCCGCCGGCCGCACTTCCCGCCCTCGCCTGGATCCGTGTCGCCGCCGCCCTGGCTGCCGCACGCCGCCCCGGGCTCCGCTCGTCCGTCCGCCTCTCCTCGCCGGGCCCGCCAGCCCTCGCCTCCGCCTCCGCCTCCGCCTCCGCCGCGCCCGAGGTTCGGTCGGCTCCGCGCCCCTGGCCGCCTGGGCCCCCCGCCGACTCCACCGCTACCGCGGCCAACCCGGGAGCCACGCGCCGCCGCCGCGCCGCCGCCACCCGCCCGCCGCCCGGCATGGCCCTGCAGCAAACAGGTAGCAGGAAGCGGAAAGCGCCCGCGCTCCAGGAGGCCGCCGCGGGCTCGTCGTCTCAGGGCTCCGCGGGGGTGGACGGGGACGGACCGCTGCCGCTCAAGAAGCCCAAGCGGCCGGCGGTGCAGCGCTCGCTGGTGAACTACCTGAAGGGGCGCGAGGTGGGCGCGCGGGGCGGCGCCGGGTTCCCGGGCTTCGATAGCGAGCTGCGTGGCTTCGCGGTGCGGAAGCTGCCAGAGCTGCTGCGGGAGCGCGAGCTGTCCTTGGGCACCCTCAACAAGGTGTTCGCGTCGCAGTGGCTGAGCGCCAGGCAGGTGGTGTGCGGTACCAAGTGCAACACGCTCTTCGTGGTGGACGTGCAGTCGGGCCACATAACGCGCATCCCCCTCATGCGGGATCGCGGGCCCCCGCCGGCCCGCGCCCAGCCGGGCTGTGGCATCCATGATATCCAGCTGAATCCCTCCAAGACGCTGCTGGCCACCGGGGGCGAGAACCCCAACAGCCTGGCCATCTACCAGCTGCCAACGCTGGACCCCACGTGCCTGGGCGACCGCCACGGCCACAAGGACTGGATCTTTGCCATCGCCTGGATGAGCGACACGGTGGTGGTGAGCGGCTCCCGCGACGGCACCTTGGCACTCTGGAAGATAGACCCCGACGTATTCCGGGGCAGCATCGCCTGGCACAACGACGCAGGGCTCCCCGTGTACGCCCACATCCGTCCGTGGGATGTGGAGAACATCCCGAGAGCCAGCACTAACCCCAGTAACCGCAAGGTGAGGGCCCTTGCCTTCAGTGCCAAGAACCAGGAGCTGGGAGCCGTGTCCCTGGACGGCTACTTCCACCTGTGGAAAGCCCGGAATACCCTGTCCAGGCTGCTGTCCATCAGGCTGCCTTACTGCCGAGAGAATGTGTGCCTGACCTACTGCGATGAGGTGTCCCTGTATGCGGTGGGCTCCCAGTCCCACGTCTCTTTCCTGGATCCACGGCAGCGCCAGCAGAAGATTCGGCCACTGTGCTCCCGCGAGGGCGGCACGGGTGTGCGTTCCCTGAGCTTCCATGAGCACATCATCACCGTGGGCACCGGCCAAGGCTCTCTGCTCTTCTATGACGTCCGCGCCCAGAAGTTCCTGGAGGAGAGGGCCTCGACCAGCCTGTACCCCTATCTGGGGCACGCAGGGAGGAAGCTCAAGCTGACCTGTGGCAAAGGCTGGCTTAACCATGATGACCTGTGGGTGAACTACTTCGGTGGCATCGATGAGTTGCCCAATGCGCTCTACACCCACTGCTACAACTGGCCGGAGATGAAGCTCTTCGTCGCTGGCGGCCCTCTCCCTTCAGGCCTCCATGGAAACTATGCAGGCCTCTGGAGCTAAGGATGGCCGCCCTGTCCTCAAAGTGCCCAGATTTACCTTCCAATCCCCTCCCACTTTCCTCCTTCACTCTGTGTTTGTGCTTTTGACTCTATGTGGCTTTTATCTTCCAGGGGAAAGGGGTCCAGTTTACCTCTGCTTAGATTATTAGGCTAAGAGAGAGAAGGCAAAAGTGGTCTCTTGGGCAATCAACACTTGGCTTTAAAATTTTTCTGCACCTCCTCCAACACTGTCTCTTTTGCCTCTCACACAGAATTTTGGCTAATCCTTAATTGTGTTCTCATTGAATGATTCACACATGCTTTCTCTTGGCTCACACAGTTACGGTTCCTACTATAATTCACTAGTTTTATCAATGTTTCAGTAGTAACTTCAGGTCTTTTACACATTTCAGATATACTGTATTTCTGGGAAATGTGTGCTGCAAAGTGTCTTTTGGGCTGATCCGAGGAACTACCCATTATATAACAGAGCAGGTTTATAGCCCTACTCCAATTAGAAATTGCATTTCAAGTTCTGTGTTGTCACCATTTGGGATATGTTTCATTTGGATGTTGGAAACTGTGTTTGTTGTTTGTATATTGTTGATGTATAAAATACTTTAAAGTATGTTCTCTTTTAAAAGAAATCTTATAATTATGTTCATCCTATTAGTCACAATTTTGATTGTTTAGTAAAAAATTTAAGCATCAGTACCCCCCAGGCCCTCAGTCTTCTTGTCTAAATCTGCTATATTATGGCCTGCTTACTTGGGTAGTATTTATGCTATAAATTTTAGAGCTAATCAGAGCTGGCCTCTATGTGGCAGGACAATCAGGGAGGTACTTTTTGGGGTGAACGTTTCTTTATATTTTAGGTAACACTATCCAGGCAGCCATTTATGGAGAAAGCCTGACTTGTGCTCAATGTAGGTGTTGTTGACCATTTTTTATTGTATATGTGCATAAGCCTTTTATCTGGTTTGAGTGTGGTTGACCATTTTTTATTGTATATGTGCATAAGCCTTTTATCTGGTTTGAGTGTGGTGTACTGCGGGAAATAAAAATAAAGTATGTTCAGCATTTTGGCAATTAAGTGCTAGGCTAAAGTTTCTGAATGCTTAAACATATACTTTATTTTTTCTTAATTGTCCTTCTAGGAATATATTAAAGTCAAAATCTTCCAGAAGAGAAACAAGGTGAAATATCACCTATGCACCTAGTACTCTGTATGTTTGTTTTTGACAAGCAAACTTTCGCTATTATCATGGGTTAAAAGATTCAGTGACATCTTGAATACCTTCAGGTCAGTTGCTCAGTCATGTCCGACTCTTTGCAACCCCATGGACTGCAGCACACCAGTCTTGAATACCTTATCTAAATATGTTTGCTACCTGTTAGGACAGTTAGGTGTCTTCTGTTTTCAAGATGATTTAACACACTGGTTTTCATTTACATGACCAAGCATATTGTGCTCACAGTCACCTACTCACATATACCATGTACTTGAGTATGTGTATATGTTACTTCCCATGTGAGAAAAAAGCATAAATATATGACATTTTACATATGCAGATATTTCATATATTTTAAACTACATCTATCAAGACCTCCCACATTTTGTTTTAACTTAAGTAACACATGAACATGAAAAAAGAATCATACTTTATGAAAGTGTATAGTGAAAATTTAGTCTCATACCCCAAGTTCCCTGATTTGCCTCTGGGTCAGAAGAGTACATCTTGTGCTTCTGTCTGTTTACAGATAGTCTACATATATACATTGTGTGTGTGTGTGTGTGTGTGTGTGTGTATGAAAGTGTATACATATGTGTGTATGCAATTTTTATACAAATGATAACGTTTTATATACCTGTGCCTTTTTTATAACCAAACCTTAAAGATTTTCTCTCATACATATCTACCTAATTCATTTTAATTGTATAGTATTTCCTAAAATATGGTTGGGGCATATTTTATTTCTTCATAACATTTTTGATGAGCATTTATATTGGTTCTGATTTTGTTACTATGAACTGTTTAATAGTAATTACTTAGGTGCATACATCTTTATGCACATGTGAAAGTATATCTGCAGGATAAATTCCTAGAAGTGGAATTGCTGGGTCAATTTTATATTTAATAGCCATTGCCAAATTACCCTCCAAAAGGGTCCTACCAACTTAATCTCCCATAAGTAATGTATACACGCCTGATTCACCACACTCTTTCCAACACTGTGTCATCAAATTCTGCACTCCTTGCCAATCAGATATCCACTTAATCTTGATCCTTTGTTTCTAAGCCACTGTGGCCGAGTTAATTAGATTTGTGGTCAGAGTACCAAGTAGGTTCTGAAACAAAGATCAAGAATATGAGGAAATGAAGGCAAACAATAAAAATACTGTCAAACCAAAGGCAGAGAACACCTGCAGTTCAGGTTCACGTATCTGCAGATGGATTACCTGAGACTACATTTCTTAAATGCTCAGCTGGACCTAATAGGGTTTCCTGTTTTATTGTACCCTGGCTTCACTTGGATTCAGTGCATCACATGTTACTGAAGAAAATCAAGGAGATGATGAGAGCCTGCATTAGGATATTTGAGTTAAGTGTGGAGAGGGAGGGAGGTATTAGAAAAAAATGAGGGGAAAATTAAGTGAACAAGCAGTATTTGATATTTCACTTGAAGGGTGAATAAAGCCAGAAGATTTAGGTGGGCTCTAAGACTCTGGGATTGAATGTCAGTGAATAGTGGCAACAGATGAATATAGAAAATAGAGCCACAGAGGATATGTGTGGAGGGTGATTAACTCAACTGGGGACATGTGGAATTTGCGGTGCCTTTGTGGCAACTTGAGAACATACCCAGTAAAGAACTGGTTACATATTCCAGAATGAGATTTCTCACTGCTGGAAAGGTGAGTGATAGGAAATGCTGGGAAACTCTCCCTTTTAGGGGCAAGCAGAATAGAAAAGCCTTTAAAAGAGGGGGTGCGTAGGGCAGAATATAAAATAGAAGAGGCTTATTTTACCCGCATGCAAGGATGTTGTCAGCATGAGACAACACACATTTCTAATTATTTTATAATTGTAATAATTTTTATTATCCACCTCAGTCAAAAAGGGCAGTTTTTTTCTCTCAGATATCATCCCTAAATATTTGCCCCAGGATCTCACATTGGTCCACTAATGAAGCTTTATCTTTGGTCAACTGCTGGTACCTTCTTGGAGAATGAAAAGTCAGACTTTGGTCACAAAGCAGGACTTCACAGTGATTCCTGTACCACTTAACCTGCTGGTCTGAGACGTCTCCAGCACTGTCAACAGCCTGCTGGCACTGGCAGGCTGGCAGACATGCCAAAGCCCTGGCAGCCTCACAGAGGTGCAGCATCTCAGCTGCTACTAGCCCGTGTTTGAGTTCCTGCCTCAGCGCCACAGGTGCAGGACTCTGCCACTTTTCCAAGGCTACCAAAGGACACGGGGTATCCAGTGGAGGATGCTCGTTTCCTCGGAATTAAAATCACAAAAGCACACACAGAGAATTTAGAGTGAAGAAGAAGCAACCACAAGCACAGATTTATTTATAAGGTGTGCGTGCATGCTCAGTTGCTCAGTCGTGTCCGACTCTTTGCCACCCTATGGGCTGTAGCCAGGTAACTGTAAACTCTGAGTGAAGAAATTACTGGAAGATAGAAATAACTAAACTTTTTCCAAGAATAGATAAGAACAGACCATTAACTCTAGAAAACTCTGAATGCTACTTTGTTTACGTACTTGCCTTTCCTCTCAGAAAATCACACATATAAACATATAATTATAAACATGTAATAGGCATGCTAACCCTGATGCTCTCACAAAGAAATGATTTCACATTGTGAAGGAATATTTCATTTTGAGCCACTTTCAGAACCCAAAGAGAAAAGTTTCATTTTTTTTCTATAGGAGGGCAGCATAATATTGATTTAAAACTTTACTAAAATTGCACAAAATTAGAAAAGACTAGTTTTACATATATAGATAAATAAATGCAATGTGTTTTTCAAATATAGTGAATTTAACCCATCAGTGTGTTAAAGGGAAACCATACCATGCAAAGTGAAGCTAATTCTTGAATGCAGAGTGTTGCACTATTGAGAAGTCTATTATTTCAATGTATCATGTTAGCACATCAAATAAGACACATGATCATGTTAATAAATTCTAATAAATAATAAAACCCTACTACAATTCTGATAAAGTCCTTAATAAAGTATGAAGAAATATAGTCTTCATATGGTGAGTGTGTTCATGTGCTGTGTTTCAAACCTGAACCACAGTCCTCTTTAGTGATACAACATCGCCTAAAATTAAATAGAACAATAAAATTCCTCACAGAGGAATTCCTATGAAAGTAAGGAACAAAACAAGGGTTCTAAAAATCACCACCAGTATTATAAAACTTCTAGATGTGGCAGTTTTTAAAGACAGGAAAATGAAAGATAAATATTGGAAGAGAAAGAAATTATAATTACTGGCAGATGATATGACTAAAAAAAAAATAGAAATCCAAAAGAACATTGATAGCAAGAGTGATTTTTGAAATGATAAGCATGGTTGGAGGACTGTCCATGGATATGCTTGGCTAGTTAGATTGTTCTCCAAATGATGGAATACTAGAGAGCTGTTAAAGTTCTGGAGTTGATTATTTACTGACATGGAGAAGTAGCCTTGATAATGTTAGATGAAATAAGTAAATTGCAAACCAGAGGCATACTATAATCCCATCTTTGTTTAAGATTAGGAGAGGGAAGATGAAAGGAATAAGCATACATTATATATAAAAATATATATAAAAGAGTTAACTGTATGTCTCTAAGACATGGTATAATATGGGACTTTTTTTCTTATTTTATATATTTATGTAATGTTTGAATAGTTTGTACTGACACTGATTTCTTTAGTAAACATAAGGGGAGAAAAACAATGAAGACATATTTTAAAAGGCCTGGCTGGGGAAGAGAGGAAAAGAAGAAAGCAATGATAA